GTTGCTGTTTACGGTGTTTATTACCACGACAACCGTCCGAGTTGAACGTGCTTTTTGTGTATCCTGCTTGAAGGAGATGAAAATATTATGCATCTGAAGCTGTAATTAAATATTGTTTATAATTAAATGTTTATAATTTTTTAAATGCCGCTTACTCATTTATGAGAAGGAACCAAGTAGAGGACACATACGCAGTTACTTTTTTGGTTGATATAATCCTTAGGTGTGTAAATGTATAATTGCCTTTTCATTATTTTTTCAGTTTTATTTACATTTGTAGTTAAAATAACTACAAATAAATGTATTTTAAAGTTTAGAATTAGACAGCCTTTGCACACACAGGCTTACGCTGGTAACTCATCAGTGGACTTTCCTGGTCAATATAGGCTATATTTTTTCACACTTTTCTCATTCTATATTTCTGACGTTCCAAAAGCGCCTCCTACTGGCAGAGAATGAATGTTCATTTTCAATAATCCAGTCTGTAGTTTTTGTTCAATGCGAAAATCCACCCACATAACCCCGTTTTAAATTAATATAAAAATGTATACTTCTGACTCACCCCTGGTTTAACGCTCAATTGTGAGGTTTATCATTTTATAATAATTTATTTAGTTTTTGTGAAAACCTGTATCTCAACTGTAAATCTAAATCCACCCCTGACCCAAGAGACAGAATATTCATAAAATACTTTAAAACTTGATACATGAAACACAACAAGGGTAATACTCAACTGAAATGCACCCTGACATCAAAAGATGTTACTAAACATGACAACAAAATCAGCAACAACTGTGTCAATAAAACTGTTCAAATAGTGCGACTATAATTGTTCATGGCCTAATGCATGCTAGACTAAAAAACGAAATTCTCTTGTGTTTAGTCTCTGTTCCATCTGCCGGTGTTCCGTAGACTGGTGCTCAATTACTGCCTGTCTGAGCGTGTGCTGGAGAAATGCAAGAGTCATTCAGTGAGTAATCTGCCAGATGAGCATGAGTATCGTTAAGTCTTTGTGTTGTATTGAATGTCATTTATATATGTTTATATATGTTCCGTTTTCAGCAAATGTTCATTGTTTTGGTGAACAATTCCTCTAAATTAAAATTGAGTTGAATTACTGTCTATCTTTATGCCAATATTGCTCAGCTTCACTAGTAGATCTACTTGAAAATGTGAATTATTCCACTGCACTGACTGGATTTCTGTTGCAGGAGAAAAGAAACATTGCCTTCATGCAGGAGTTGCGTTGCCTGTTTGCTCTGATGGTGGGCTCAAACCGTAGGTTTGTAGACCCCTCTGCAGCAGTCGAGCTTCTCAGGGATGCATTTAGAACCAGTGAGGCACAGCAGGTACATCATTTGAATAATTTGATTCACAGCTGTTCTGTCGTGGGCTAATTTTAAAATGAAACAGTTGCAAATGACGAGCTAATAAAAGGTATCTTGAAATGTTATACTTTATAAAGCTACATTAGAGCTTCTTCTAAACAGACACTGTGTTGTATTATTGGGAAACAGTGTTTATTTTAAGCTTGCTTATTCTAGGATGTCAGTGAATTCACACACAAGTTGCTTGACTGGCTCGAGGATGCATTCCAGCTGGCTGCTAATGGAAAGTAAGTTTATAGATTCAAAATAATAATAGCCTTTGTTGAAGTGAGCATGACTTAATTTTGATGCTTTCATTTGTGATGCTTTAAATGTTTTCTTACAAAAAATGGACCTCAAAAATATTAATATCATTAAAGTTGTATAATATAATATAATATATAATACAAAATAGTCTAAATAAAAAATAATTACATTTGATATTTGATAACTGCAATATTTTGTAGTGGCTACATCTATGTTCACTGCATCCTTAATCCATTCCACAGTTTCACAATGTTCCTTTTTGGCAAGAAACACATTGAAGCGATTCTTCATAAACTCTTTTAAAATAAACTTACTTACTAAGAAATGTGAATCATTTTTTATGGGTGGAAAACTTAAAAAAATCTTTTTGAGGGCAGTTCTCCAGCGGACAAATCCACCACAGGGTGCATCATGCCAGAAAATGATTTTAAAATGTATTTAAAAAATAGTGTGACTAAGACAAACCTTTTTAATGGTTTATTTAAAATAATTTTATTGCCATCTTATATGCATCATGTGCTTGCAACATGAAGAAAATGTGTTTGTTACCCCAAGGCAACATCTTGCTGTGGAGGGTTAATTAATAAATGCTAATGAGTGTAGCATTTGTTAAAGAATCATGAATAATTACCCTATGGTATATTTGGTTGCTAATGTACTCGCCAGGAATTTTTTTTTTGTCCCAAAAATAAAACATGGCAGCTGTTATTTTCAGTAACCCAGAGGATAAACAAAACAACCCCATGGTCCAGCTGTTTTATGGCACATTTGTGGCTGAGAGACTTCATGAAGGTAAGAGAATGATATTTCTTCTGTAATTATTCTGTTTATCACAGTCCTTGATGATATTTGTGCAATTGTGTGCAGAAAAGATTGTGTCCAACATTGAGCAATTTGGACAATACCCTCTCCAAGTGAACGGCTTCAATAATTTAGATGAATGTTTGGAGGGTGCCATGGTTGAAGGAGAGATTGAATTGCTTCATTCAGATCAGACAATGTCCTCTGGCCAAGAGGTGAGTTTTTCTACTTTAACTACATACAGTTATATGAACGCCTGTCATTTATTCTGTTGTTTACATTGCATTAACATTTATACATTTGGCAGACATTTTTATCCAAAGAGACTCCATTCAAGGTATACAATTTATTAGTCTTTTCTTGCCTTGGGAATCAACCCCATGGCCTTGGTGTTGCTAGCACCATGTTCTACTGTTTGAGCTAAGAAAGACTCAAAGATATCAAGATATTATAATGAAAACAGAATAAGGATATTATTGTGAATCATGCACATGTTCTTTTATATATATATATATATATTTATTTTTTTAAGGATTTATTACGACAGGATAGTGTAGAGCAGACAGGAAGTGAAGTGGGGGAGAGAGAGGGGGGCAGGATTGGGAAAGGTCCTCAAGCCGGGATTTGAACTCGGGACGCCCGAAACGCAAGGGCGATATATGTCAGCGCACTGCCCACTAGGCGCCGACATACACAGGTTCTTTTAAATTAATTAAAAGTATGTGGTTTTTCATTGTTTGCAGAGGTGGTTTTCTAAGCTGCCACCAGTGTTGACATTTGAGCTGTCCAGATTTGAGTTCAATCAGTCTTTAGGGCGACCAGAAAAAATACACAAAAAACTGGAGTTTCCCCAAGTGATCTATATGGACAGGTGAGAAGTGTCATTACTACAGCTTGTATTTATTTATTTGTAGATTTATCTATTCATAGATATATGTATTAATTTATAAATATATTTATAACAATAAATATTTATTTATTTTTATTTATTTATGTTTGTTTGTAGATTTATTCTTTATTTATTTGTAATTATGTATATTTTTGTATAAATATATTTATATTTTTGTATAAAAATGTAATTTATTTATCAGTTTATTTAAGTATATTTACTTATATATTCATTTATTAGTTTACTTATCTATTTAATTATTTGTTTATTTTGTCTCTTCAAAGCATAAAAAGCTATGGTAAATGGAAATTCACTTTTTCTGTGAGCAGATACCTCCACAAAAATGTTGATCAGACCCATGGTAGGAGAGGAGGAGTCAAGAGACTCAAGGACCAGTTAACAGTTCTACAGCAGAAACTTGAGGGGTACGTTCAAAAGCCAAATAGTGGCTAAATCCTGGTCAACACTTCAAGTAATCTTTGAAAAATTGTTATTTGTGGTTTGTTTTTCAATTTTAAATATTAAAACTATGACTTTCTTTTTTTAAAGATATAAAAACTATGGCTCAGGGCCAACCAAATACCCCCTGGCAGACATGTTGCAGTATGTGCTGGAGTTTGCCACCACTAAACCCACAAACGTGTCTCCAGCCTCAGTACCTATGAATCCTGCCGCACACACAGAACCCAGCTCAAGTGACAGCAGGCAAGGCCCGTTTTCCTGCATTCTTATTCATCAGCTGTGTGACAAACTGTGCCTATTGTTTGTTTGTCCCCGTCTAAATGTTTAATTTCTTGCTGTAGTCAAATAGAACCAGACGATGCAGGCTCATCAGATGGCTCGGACTGCCCGCAGACAGCTACACAGAGAACTCCCATACACAAGCCTTTTACTCAGTGTAGACCCCCCATAGAGGTGCCACTGCAACCAGCCCCTCACAGCGTGACCGAGGAAGAGCTGTACTTCGTCAGGAGCTGCTTACAGCGCTGGAGAGCAGAAGTTGAGAACACCATAAACGGTAGATCCTTCACTGAGTGAAGCTTGAATCAGTGTAGTTAAGTAAACACATAAACTCTGCCTCAAATCCTAGTGATTTTAAGGCATCATAGGTGCACTCTAGATGCAAAGACTTTCCCAAAAAAGAATGCAGTGTAATTAAGAATGTGCCAATTTGCCTCCTATGTACAAAGCGATATGTTACAGTAAATGTGTAGTGTCAAAAAGGTTGTTTCTTTTTTTGAAAGAAACAAATTTTTTTATTAGCAAGAACACATTAAATTGATCAAAAGTGACAGTAAAGACATTAATAATCTTACAAAAGGTTTCCATTTCAAAGACATGCTGTTTATTCATCAAAAAATCCTAAAAAAATCACAATCTCCACAAAAAGCAGCACAGCTGTTTCAACATTGATAATAATAAGAATAATAATATGTTTCTTGAGCAACAAATCAGCATTTCCGAAGGATCATGTGACACTAGAGACTGCAGTAATGGCTGATGAAAATTCAGTAAATCCAATAAATTACATTCAAAAATATATTAAAATAGAAAACAGCTATTTTGAATTGTAATAATATTCCATAATATTATTAAAAACAATATTACTGTTTTTACTATATTTTTAAACAAATAAATGCAAAAGTCTTTGTGAGTACTTTTTTGAAAAACATTAAAATTCATACCTATACCAAAATTTTATGTCTGAAGTAGTATGGCCAAATATTTACATTATTCATAAAACAGTAGCTGAAAAAACCTGGATGTCCTACTACTACACACATACCATAGTTAATAACAAAATACACATTTTATCTGTGAAAATATAAATTGATTGAAAAAAAAAAGCATTGATAGAAATGCTTTAAAAATACTGACTATTTTACCAAAAATTGAGAACTATGTGCTATGTTTATTTATGCTTTCATTATATTTTGTCGCCTGTATTGAAATCAGTTGTGAGTCAAATCTTCTTTGCACTTTGCATGCTGAGTGCTATTTGTTTGGCAAGCAGAGTTCTTGATGCCACAGAAGACATCTGTCTATGTAGGCAGTAGGCAGCGAGGCAGCTCACTAGGTTTTGTATCCGAGCTGTAATGTGCATTTTAATTTTTCTGTTCTGAAGGCCATCGTTATTCACAAGCAGTTATCTTAATGCGTTTGTGACTGTATCCTGGCCTCAGGTGTAGTGTATTGATCTGTGTTCCCTCTCTGTGTGTAGAGCTGAAAGCCAGCATTGACAAGGTCAGCCAGGCCCTGGAGGGCATGTACTCAGATAACAGTCTGTGTCAGGTAAAGTCTATATCCTGAACACTCATTGGTACTTTTATATTGACTGAGCCCTTTCAAGAAATTTGCATGACACCTCAATGTACCCTGTCTTCTTATTTGATGCTTCCAGGTGCCCTATAGGCTGCACGCTGTGCTCGTCCATGAAGGACAGGCCTCCGCTGGCCATTACTGGGCGTACATCTATGATCATGCTAATAAACGCTGGCTGAAGTACAACGATGTAATGGTGACAGAGTCAACCTGGGAGGAGCTGGTTCGAGACTCATACGGTGGCATGACCAACGCCAGCGCCTACTGCCTCATGTACATCAATGACAAGCTGCCATACCTCATAGCAGGTACTTTCCCCATGTGCTTCTCAGATTACGCATATGCACTTAGATTTTGCTGAAGGAGCCAAGCACATCACACACTTGATTTAAGGCTTTGGCTTTAGCTCGGATTTCTTTTAGAAATTAATGCTGATAGATTTGCTGGCAGACTTTATTATTTTAGAGTCTCTGCCAAGCTGTGAACATTAAATACTCTTAATGCTTTTAACTATCTAATGCTTTTTATTTTGATTAGTTTTTCTAGTATTTTCTGTAAAAAGTAAAGTACTATAAATATTTATTTGAAATAGGGGTGGACGTTTAATGCATTATGTAAATGTTTTTATATTAAAATGCAATAAAAAAGTGTTTTTTAAACACAGCCACCACTGTTCAAGGGCAGGTACTCTTATCTATGTCTGCCAAACAAAATGGCATTGCAAGTTGACTTGCTGTCTTTTTTTTTATTTTTATAAATCACTAATGCAGTTTTAGAGCCCTATGAAATCCGTTATATTTTTTACCAATTTTATTTTATTTTTTTCCAAATTACATTTTTCCGTTTTAATTTATCTAGACGCTGTTTTTATGGTTAAATTACATTTTATTAATCAAAAAAAAAAGTCTAAATAATTGAAATCATGAAACTTACAATATTAAACAGCAATTTAGTAAAGGTTTAACAAAAATTAAAATTTTAAGGCCCTATGAGATAGGTTTTATTTTTTCTCAAATTTAGTTTTATTTTTACCAAAATATTTTACCAAATATTAATAATCAAAAGCATATCTAATTAATTGATTTTATATAAAAAAAATAATAATAATATATAATTATTTTTATAATAATAATAGAGTTGTGTATTTATATTTTTCTGCTAAATAAATTCTGGTAAATAAATACTTTTCTGGTTAATATTCCTTTAAAAATAATGTTTTAATAATAATTTTATTATTCTGTCACGGTTTCTTCAAGTTAAACCAAACTTTTATTTTGACAGGTTGCTGTGAAGACCTCTAGGTTTCTGTTTGAATATGATATGATGATAGTTTTACTCAAAAGAAATGGTAAAATGCTCATGAAGTGATTCTCAGAGCAGACGGCAGAGGCTGGAAACACCGCAAGCGTCATGCGTGCTTCATGTGTAGTAAATGAAACCGCACGTCTGCGCCATTCATTCACACTGAGACATGCAGAATATGCAGGACTCATATTTAAATGGTATTTTTGCAGCTTAATATTCACAGATGATTTAGCTGTACTAGCCTACTTTTGATGTATCCATCCAAAATTTGGCAAATTCCGTGACATTCTGCGTTATAGTGTAAATTCCATTTTTAGGACTGGATTCCGCGATTCAGTCTGTGTTTGCCACATCACAGAAATCATAGGGCCCTAAGGTTTATCATAGCGAAGAAAATTGTATCAGGTTGTTATGTTGAAACACTAAATATAACAGTAGAAGACAGGAAAAGAGTAAAAATAGAAGGGGAAATCTACCCAAGTGTCAAGAAGTCGGACAGTCAACATGTCATAAACATTGACATTAATAAACATTTTTTGAGTGTTTTTCTTAAAATAAAGTTAACTTTGGCTGCATATCACATTAGTTTTTACTTATCAGAGTTGTTGAAACTGGAGATTCACACCCGAGTCCATTCAGCACGTTATCTGTTTTTTTTTTTATAAAATCAAATAATTCACATTTAGTATACAGATTGAGATTTATGAAGGAAATAAATCAAATATCCTCAAATTTCTGAGAATGAAGCAGAACTGCCATTTAAAATTCCAGGTAATCGCACACACTTCGTTTCGTGCAATCTTTTTATTTAATGGAGAAAACATCATGGAAATTTAAAATGAACAAAGGTCAGTGTCATAAAGAACAAGAAGTTTGCACTTGCATTTTTTGAGATTGGCTGGCTGATTTTAGGAGCTGAATGAACAAAACTCCATTAACTAGCCACTCTGGATGTCAAGTATCGAGATTGCAGAGCCATAACAACACCTTTTTACCACAGAATGTTAAGTAAGATTTAAAGTTTGATGGATAAAATTTGGGCTGTCACTCATTTATGTAACATTAGGCCTTTTTGTAATGCTTTTCCTATCTGCTACAATAATGAAATTGAGCATGACTTTTTTCTTGCATATGAATGACAGAAGACACGGACAATGAAACAGGGCAGGTTCTGAAAGGAATGGACTCCCTTCCGTCTATCCTGAGGCGTTATGTTCGGGAGGATAACCGCTGGTTCCAGCAGGAACTGAGAGAATGGGAAGAGCAGTTCTGCCAAGCCCAACGTGAAGAAGCGCAAGTTCAAACACACACAGAGAAAGCCGTCCCAGAAGAGCCACAGAACCCAGAGCAGGAGCCAAACCCAGAACCAGTCCAAGAACAAACAAATGAAGTGTCCCAAGAACCACCCACAGATTCAACACCAGCACCTGCCCAGGACAGTGAAGGTCAGAACCTTTTTCTTCAGGTCAGATGTTTTCCATGTATCCATTGCAGGTATATCTTCAACGTGCTTTCCCTTCCCAGAGCCCATGGCCAATTCAACAGCTCTCAACTCGATATCATCAGAGCCCAGTGAGAATGTGGAAGAGGAAGGTGAGGAGCGTATCGCCAGCAGCCAGACACTTGGCCCGCCAGATGAAGAGAAGCCAGATTTGAGTCAGGTGAGAGTGTTAAAGCGTTATTTGAGACGTGCAGAAAATAGGTCACATATACAGCACTGGAGGCTTCACGTACAGTGCATATGGGTCACAGTTTTCTTCCTCAACGTAAACTGCAATAGAGTACCATCACACAAAAACACACAACACTAATGCATTTAACAAAAATAATGTGATGACATTTTAACCATGCAAGTTAAATATTAATAAAACTGTTTTAAATTAACTATACTCAGGGAGCTTTTATTATTTTTCATTAAATTTTAATGTGACTCATATGAGACATTTATTTTTACAAATAATGTTAACAATATTTTAATAAAGAATATATTTATATTGTACATGTCTTATTAAATATAATATACAATTTATACATAAATTGTAATTCATACTTTTACTTCATACTATTCACACACTTTGATAAAAACATATTTTAGATGTAAAACATACTTCCAAAATGTGCAGTATATTACAGTAAACTTACATGTATTATATTAAAACAAATGGAATTTTTCATTTTAACTGTATATCATTACTGTATATTGTGTATGTGCATATATAAAATGCATTGTATATTCATTTTTCATTATTATAAGCAATTTAGTGTATTAATTTGTATTTTTATACATTTAAACATACTTTTTTATTCTTTTTTTCATTAAAATATGATCATTTTTGTGGATTTGTCAGGAATTTCTATACAGAAAATATGTATTTTTTTATAATATTATTTTTTCATTACAATTATGAATGTTTTTAGTGGATTTTTTTAGGATTTCAATATAGAAAAGATGTTTGTGTATATTTTGGCAACTATGTATGGGAATGTGGGGAGAAGATTCTAGATTTACATTAGTGGTTAAATCACTACAAACTTGTTTTTTTGCACTTGCTTAATGTTTAATGTTTTATCTGTTGCGTTGTGATGTGTTGTGTTGTGCAAAAGCTCTGGTATTTTGTAAGAGGATAAGTTTTGGAAAGGAATATGTGGATAAGGTTCATCGGACAGCTGAGAGCCGTCCAACATTCCTCAGTCTTTCTGGTTCAAGTTTAATGCGGGGTTGCTGGGGACAGTGGGTCAGAGAAGAGCTTTAAATAGAACCTGAGCTCTGTGTTTCCTGCATGCACCATCAAGATCAACTGGATTCCTACTTTTCCGCAGTCATTAAATGATTGTGGAGAACATTTTCCTGATGCTTCAATCAACAGGCAATTGTTTAAGCGCCATGTGTTCTTGCTGTCTAGTCTTTAGAGAGCGTAATCTTGGATATTATTGACTCAGTATATGGAGTTTCAGTCAAGCAAGTCCATTCTGTACTTACAACACAGGATTTATTCTTCTGCTGTTCCTCTCTTTGACTCATTGATTTTATTGGTGCTCCTGATTCATGACTGTGCTGTCACTACATGATGTAGTTGCTAGGCCTTGTCATAAATGGTAGTGATAGGACCTCTAGTGGTTAGTATCTCATATTGCATTCAAGGATATTTATAAGCAAAATAAGGCAGTTAACAATACTTGAAGAATTTTCTACAACATAAGGATAACAACGGTGGTCAGATAAATTGGATGCTATCTGCCAAGCACCAGTGTTATTTTAGTATCACTGATACACTAGTTTTTGTTAATATAATGAATTATATATATATATATAATGAATTATATATATATAATATATATATAATCATATATTAGTTAACATTTTAGTCATTTTGTTGTGTCTTTGTCATTTTTGTTAGTTTTTTAATTATGTCTGTATAGTTTTTATATTAAGTTTAGTTTTCAGTTTTAGTTTATTTAGTTTGAGTTATTTTAGTACTTGAACTTAACCCTTGTACGTCACTTAAAAAAAGTTACACATAGGTCCATAGTGGACAAAAATGTCCATGTCAGAAAACTGTCATAAAAATGTGAAGCTTGGGAGCACATTGTTAAGTTTGGTCTCATTTTAAAGAAGACCCATGGCAGATTATTGTTGAAGTAAAAAAACTTTAAAAAAGTGAAACAAAAAAAAAGTTATAGAGGTTTAAGTTTATAAAAATGATTTATGAACGATATTTTATATAAAATATATATTTTATGAAACATGTTGAACTCTATACTTCCTAGAAAATCAAAGTCATAAATCTAAACAAGTTGTGTTCCAAATTTGAGGTTGATATCTCAAAAAGTGAGCTTTCAGTAAGATTTTGTTTGGGCGCAGTACCAAATTTTCCCCATTAGATGCCAGCAAAACTCCGCTGGTGCACACAGTGGTTGGATTTGTGATTTGCAGTAGAGTTTTTCTCTCTCAAATTTTACAAGAACACACACGCACACACACAATTTATTGCATAATTTTACAGTTAAATAGAACTGCGATTTAAAAATAGCAGTTTTAATGGGTTTCAATGGGGACATTTTTGTCCTTAAGGTCCTGAGAGGAACAATTTTTTGTACCTAGTGCAAAACAGATTTATTAAAGGAAATTGAAGTGAAATAGTAAAATTCCAATAAAAATACACATCTGTGCCAAAATTTATGCAGTTGGCAATAACACAGGCAAAATTATCAAAAAAACAAAACTGAAAAGGACAAAAATGTCCAAAAGGTCGCACAAGGGTTAAACTAAATGAAAATGAGAAATGTTTCCTTGGCAACTAGCTGAAATAAAATACTTTTATTTATAATGTTTTTAAGATTTCATGATTATTTTATTTTTAAGTAGTGAAAACATTTTTAATGGTTTCAGTTTTAGTTTCAGTTATCATAATGACTCTGTAACAGAGTACCATCATACAAAAGCACACAACACTAACACATTTAACAAAATAACTACTTAAATAAAATATAATCTGGGAGCTTTTATCGTTTTTCAATAAATGTAATGTGACTCATGTGTGACATTTTATTTTTTACAAATAATTTTAACAATATTTTAATAAACAGTATTTATATTGTATATGTCTTGTTAAATATAATACACAAATTCACCATAAAATAAATTATAATTCATACTTCATACTATTCACACATTTTGATAAAACATTTTAGATGTAAAACATACTTCCAAAATGTGCAGTATATTACAGTGAAACTACATGTATTATGTTAAGTCTAATTAAATTTTTCATTTTAACTGAAAACATTTTTAATGGTTTCGGGTTTAGTTTCAATTATGATAAATACTCTGTCAGGTACACAAAAACCCACATCACTGTTGTACACAGAAAGTGGGCAGCACTATTTTCAAACATTCAACATTCATCCATGCATTGAAGCATTAAAAGGAATAAATGATGAAAATTAAAAATAAAATACATTTCCTTGTCCAACTTACTAGCATTCACTGCTGGTTTCTTCAAAGACAGCCAAAACAGTCTTTTGATGGGTGAAAACTACTATAAATCTAGTCAGATGACGCTCAGAGATTCACATTTCCGCTTATTTAAAAACCAATTAGAAATTCCTGAGGGATCCCATGGTGAATTAGACTTCCTGGTTTGCCTACAAATTGACGTTATGAGTGAACATCTCTATAGACTATAATGAGTGGATAAGATCATTGACAGTCATTCAACACCCTCTTTCTCCGTGTTTCTCAGCAGCCTGTGGTGGAGTCAGCCACTACAGACAGATCTGAGTCAGAGGTGGAGGTGGAGGAGCAGGTCATCAGTGATGAGGGAGGACCAGAGGCAGAGCCGGAGGCCTCATCCACAGAGAACCAGGCCACGGCCACGCGCAGCCAGCCTGAGAATGACGTGTCTGAGATCGAGATACCCAATGTGGGCAAGATTCTGGTGCGCTCTGATGCCGATGGCTACAATGAGGAGGTAAAGGTTCCATGAATTGTAAAACTAGGCTACTTCATACATTAAATTTAACATACAATTTTGACATATTTTTAATCTGTAATTGAATAGATGATGCTAACACCAGCTATGCAGGGCGTCATTTTTGCAATTGCCAAGGCAAGACAGGTCTTTGACAAAGACGGACCTGAAGCAGGACTCATCAAGGTATACAACTTAAAAATACTCTGCGGCTGAACACACCAAATGGCGCTACTTCACAGTTCTCAGATAATAATTCACATAAACTTAGATATTAAATACATTTACTTAGTACTTTATTTAGCAAGCTCACCCTGTTTATTTCTTTGGAAATCTTTTGGATCTCTTCATCAGGCGTTCCATGAGGAATATTCCAGATTGTATGAGCTGTCCCAGGAAGAGACCACACCCCAGCAGGACCCTCGACTCCAGCATGTTCTGGTCTACTTTTTCCAAAACCAGGCACCTAACCGTGTCATTGAGAGGACATTACTGGAGCAGTTTGCAGATCGTAACCTGAGTTTTGATGATCGGTACCCATTTCCTTATATTTTGGGGGGGAATAGGTTAAGATTGAATAATTGGACTAATCTAAACTGGTACTTTATCCTTGTAGGGCTATCAGTATCATGAGAGAGGCCAGATCTAAAATCCGTCTCATTAAACCAGAAGACATGGACATGGATGAATACTTGGTAAAATCAAAAAGGCATTCTACTCTATTTTTCTTCTTAAATGTATAATATATGCTGCTGTTTAACAGTTTGGAGTCAGTAAGATTTTTATACGCTTTTAAGGAGATTAATACTTTTATTCAGCAGGGATGCATTAAATTGATCAAAAGTGACAGTAAAGACATTTATAGTGTTACAAAAAAATTATATTTCAAATAAATGCTGTTCTAATGAATTAAGCTGAAAAAACTGTATCATGGTTTCCTCAAATATACTAAGCAGCACAGCTGAAGACTGGAGCAATGGCTGCTAAAAATTCAGCTTTGGCATCACATGAATAAATTACATTTTCAAATATATTAAAATATAAAACATTTATTTTCATTAATAATAATATTTTATAATATCACTGTTTTTACTGTATTTTTGATCAAATAAATGCAACCTTGAGGAGCATAAGAGACTTCTTTTAAAGACTTTAAACTTTTGAAAAGTAGTGCATGTATTTGATCATTTTAAACTACTTTTTTTCCCTCTCTTCCCAGCAATGGCATGATGACTACAGCATGTTCAAGACAGTGTTTGCCTACCTGTTGGCAGGTCTCGAGCTGTATCAGAATGGAAAGTATGTAGACTCAGAGACAAGAGACATTGCCTTTGCATTGAATTGGAGAGTTTGTACTACAACAATTATCTTTTCCATTGCAGGATAAGAGAAGCTCTGAATTATCTCGCACATGCACACCAGGACAACTCAGTCCTTCTTAGGAAAGGGGAGAAGAAAGGAGTGGACCAGTCACTTATAGCACTTTACAGAAGAAAGTGTTTGAAAGTATGTACACATTAATAATCCAAAGCATACACTAAAAAAGAGTGGTCAAAAGTTGTCAGTAAGATTTTTTTGAAAGACATCTTTTTCTGTTCACCAAAACTGCAATTATTTGATCAAAGATACAATAAAAACAGTAATATTGTTACATATTATTATAATTTAAAATAACTGTTTTCTGTTTTAATATATTTTAAATTGTAATTTATTCCTGTGATGGCAAAGCTGAATTTTCAGCAGCTATATGCCAGTCTTCAGTGTCACATGATCCTTCAGAAATCATTCTAATATACTGATTTTTGTTTAGTTTAGAGGAATGAACAGTTGTGCTGCTCAATATTTTTGTGGAAACGGTGATATTTTTTCAGGTTTCCTTGATAAGGAGAAAGTTCAAAAGAACATCATTTATTTTGTAACATTATAAATGTTTTTATAAAGTTTTTATTTATTGAATACTTGCTGTATTAAAGTATTCATTTCTTTTTTTTTTTTTAAATCAGATCCCAATTAATTTGAACTCTGGTATATGTAGTTTTGTAAAGACACGTAACGTAGCCTATATGCTGAGTTTCAGTTCATTTTTGTGACACGCTTAATTTGTTCACAGAAAGGAAACTCAAATGGCAGAAAGCGACATCCTAATTGTTTTCTTTATTTTACAAAAGCACAATGTTTTGTTTTCATTGTGAGTGTACACAAATAAAAGTAGACCTTTATACAGTGATGCATTATTAATAAGACAATAAATGACAGAGTGTTTTAAGTTGATTCTGCTGGTGTTTCGCCGGCGCGCACCCACACAAAACATATCAGTTCCAGCATTGCTTACTTGACAGCGCAGTTGGTACTTTATCAAAATAAAATACAGTGTACCAAACATAACCAAATGCGTTGGAACGCGACTGAAGTACAAAGCCTATAATTTACATAATAAATAATCATTTAGCATTTGGATACATGGCAAATATGGAAATATTATGGAATATTTGGATTTGTGCTGAATGA